AACCTGATTTCTTCTCATGTGTGAGGTACTTAAGTGGGCCTGTCAAATTTCAGGTTGGTTCTCTGCCTGGTAGATAGAAGGACAAGACTATTCTGGAACCTTATTAATGTTAAAATTTTTTTTTTACTGACTTACTGCTGGCAAGGATTTTTTTAAAAAAGATTTTTAAAATGTGTCTAAGAAATGTCTTCTGATTATGCAGTTAATAACAATCTGTGGTTCTTTTATATGTGGGCAAAATTAAGAACTAATATGTAAAACAAAATGGAGTGCATTCCCATTGATTTTTCTTATTGCTTTGCAATGATATGGCATCTACGTCAGTAGTGCTTTGGCTAAACGTCACAAAGACCTAACACAGTGGCCTAAACAAATAGGGGTTTATTTTTCTCCAAAAAGACATCTGGAGGTATGCAGCATCTTGCTTTAGTTCAGCAGTTCAGTAATATTGGAGTTGGTGGTTTTTTAAAAGTAGTTTTGTCTTTTCTCTCATGTTTGAGACCTTGTAGCTACAGGACAACATTATATAGCCACAGCTACATGGTTGCATTCAAGGAGGGAGGAAGGAACTGTATTGGCAACTCTGTCCTCCCCCTCAAGCTTTTTTTTTTTTTTCTCCCTGAGATGAAGTCTCACTGTGTCGCCCAAGCTGGGATGCAGTGGCAGGATCTCTGCTCACTGCAGCCTCGACCTCCTGAGTTCAAGCAATTCTCATGCTTCAGCTTCCCAAGTAGCTGGGATAGGCGTGCACCACCACGCCTAGCTAAATTTTGTACTTTTAGTAGAGATGGGGTTTCACCATGTTAGCCAGGCTGATCTCGAACTCCTGAACTCAGATGATCCACCAGCCTCAGCCTCCCAAAGTGCTGGGATTACAGGTGTGAGTCACTATGACCAGCCTCCTCTTTTATGATAAATTTCCCCAGACATTATCAACCCCTACCCCCTTATCCACGTTGCCACCTAGTAGACTTTAATAAGAACTGACCAGAACTAAGCCAGATGGTTATCTCTAGCTGCAGAGAAGTTTGGGAAAACAAGTATTTGACTGGCCATGTGGTCTCCCTGAACACACTTTCAACTTGAAGAAGGAAATCTCATGCCTTTGGCTGTATTCCACATTATTTTCAGTAGCAGTGTACATATTCTGGTTTTCATGGTGGATGAAGTGATATCAGCTCAGTTGTACAGGAAGGAGAAGAATCAAGGCTCATTTAATCTATAAGAATTAAACTTGGCAGCTTTTGAGTACCCGTTAGGTTCATAGTCTGCCATAAAATATTATAAAGGAGCCCAGGCATGGTGGCTTACACCTGTAATATCAGCACTTTGGGAGACCAGGGCAGGAGGATCACTTGAGGCCAGGAGTTTGAGACCAGCCTGGGCAACACAGTGAGACCCTATCTCTACAAAAAATTAAAACATTAGCCATGTGTGGTGCACATGCCTGTAGTCCCAGCTACTAGGGAGGCTGAGGTGGGATGACCCCTTAAATCCAGGAGTTCGAGGCTGCAGTTAGCTATGATCACACTACTGCACTCTATTAGCCTGGGCAACAGAACGATACCCTGTCTCAAAAAAAAGAAAAATCAAGTTTTTAATCAAAGATTTATATAATATGTGCGTGCATGTGTGTGTGTGCGCGCGCGTGCACGTGCGCACGCGTGCGTGTGTGTGTGTGTGTGTATGTAGGTTGTTTATTGACTCCTTAGGAAGAAAAAAAATGTATGAAATAGTACAAGAATTCAGAATTATTTGTTTAAATGTTTAGTGTTGATACTGAGTGTTATGATATAGGAATAGGGAACTTTTTCTTAGGGTCAGTGATGGGTACTTGGGAAAATAAAATGAAGGCCAAACGGAAGCAAAAGACGATTTAATTTGCTTCTATTTTGAGGGAATTTTTAAAAGTTAACTCTTAAATTTTTAATTTAAGGACTTTGTCAGGAAACATCAAATTAAATATATAAGTTTAACAACCTAACAAACATCAGATCTTTCAATCTGTCGTATGAGGAGATACAAGTTTCTTTCTGCTTTCTGTTATGACTGTTGATTTGCATGATTGTGTTTTAGGTTAGTCTGGGTTATGCTGTGGCAATACGCATCACCAAAATCCTAGTGATTGAACACAGTAAAAAGCTTTTGCACGCACCAAGTCTGCTTGAGGGATCCCAGTAAGGAGAAGTAAGAAATCCTGATGAGATGCAGGGAGAGCCATAGAAGGCTTCATGATGATGGTGACAGATGATCTAAACATAATAGAATGAGTAGGTTTTTAGGTTTAAAGAGAAGAAAGGACATTAAAACTGAGGGAACAACACTATGACTGAGTCAGAGCTAGACTCAAAGCTCGAGTCTACTGGATGATGTAGTGGGAGAGGAAGAATAGATGAGCAGGCCTTGAATTCATTTAACATTCAGCAAAAATGTGTTGCATATCTACTATGTGCTAGGCACTGTTTCAGATTTTGGGGAATATCTGATAATGAGCAAAACCCAAAAACCCTGTCCTCGTGAAGGTTACAACATGCTAATGGGTGAAGTCCTAAGGAGTTAGTATTTTATTATAAGCACGTTGGTGAGTAAGCAAAGATAGGAATGTTGGATGCCTATCAATCTTAAGATTTTCCTGGGTGGGCACGGTGGCTCACACCTGTAATCCCAGCACTTTGGCAAGCCAAGGTGGCTAGATCACTTGAGGTCAGCAGTTCAAGACCAGCCTGGCCAACATAGTGAAACCCTGTCTCTACTAAAAATACAAAAATAAGCCAGTTGTGGTGGCACACACCTGTAGTTCCAGCTACTCGTGAGGTTGGGGCAGGAGAATTGCTTGAATCAGAGAGGTGAAGGTTGCAGTGAGCTGAGATTGTGCCACCACACCTCAGCTGACAGAGGGAGAATCCATCTTAAAAAAAAAAAAAAAAAGATTTTTCTAATATTCTATTTTACATGAAATAGAAGGCAGTTGGTTTGCATGAAAATTATTATTTCATCAATTTAACTGCCTCATGGAAAGCACACATGTCGAAGTCAAATAAAACATAGAGATGAATATCTGAAATTAAAACATTTTATTTGGAAGCAAGAATTGCAATTTGGGGCACACACACAGACCACATAGTGGTCTTCAGTATGTCTGAAAAACAAAGTAAAGGATGGAGGGGTTTTTTTGTTTTTTGTTTTGGAGATGGAGTATCACTCTGTTGCCAGGCTGGAGTTCAGTGGCTCGATCACGGCTCACGGCAGCCTCTGACTCCCTGGTTCAAGCGATTTTCCTGCCTCGGCCTCCCAAGTAGCTGGGGTTACAGGCATGTATCACCACACCCAACTAATTTTTGTATTTTTAGTAGAGACGGGGTTTCACCATGTTGGCCAGGATAATCTTGATCTTCTGACCTTGTGATCCACCAGCCTCAGCCTCCCAAAGTGCTGGGATTACAGGTGTGAGCCACTTCACCCAGACCCAGCTGCTATTTTAAGATCCAAGGGATAGTTAATTCCTGTTTTTGTTTTCATGAAACTTAAATTCTAGTGTAATCAAAATCATGTAGAAATAAATATAAACGTGATCACCCAACTTCTTTTAAAATTATACTGCAGTTGACGTAATCATTTGCATTACAATAGCATGCATCTTGTGCACAACAAAATCTACCTGTTATTGTGTTAAAGCCTTAGTGTCAAAGCTTTGTTATCATTTTAGTCTTTTCTTTTATCAACTCTGTATTTCTAAATGGGCCATTTTCCGAAAGTTCTAATATGGAAATTAGAATCATTTTTGTTATAGGAACAGTGCAACAGTTACCTAGATTTGTAACTAGGTCATAAAAAGCCTGTTTTATCTAAAATAGACATTTGCAGTAAAAACTTAGAAATTGTTGTTGGGATGCAGTATTATGTGATAATTGAGTAAAACAGACAACAGCCTATCTCCAAACCTGGTATGTGAGTGTGAAAATATTAGAGTGATAATGAAGAAGTAGTTGGAGATTAATATGGAAATTCTGAAAAGTACATCTTTTGAGAAATTTAGAGGTAGATGGCACAAGTTTTAAAGCTTACTTTCACTTTAAAACACCTGAATTTCATTTTCTTTGACAGGTATATTACCAAGCAGTTTATCAGCTAGATCAGTCTTGTTTTGACTTATGGGTATATAGAGAAAGACAGGGCATTTTCCTGGACAAAAAGTTGGAAAAGAGAAACATATAAAGGGGATCGAAAGTGGCTGTGAGTGCATATGAAGTGAGCAGGAGTTAACAGCCACAGTGGGGAAGGGATTGGGACATCCAATCCTTTGAATGCGTATAGGGCCAAGGGAACAGTAGTAGCAGGATGCTTGCGCATATAGAAGTGTACACAGTGTGTACACAGAAGTGTAATTCTCGGACCTGAATGTTTCATAGGATAGAGACATATTGAGTACTTTATTCAACATGCATGTTGAGTACTTTATACATCTGTTCAACAAGGGCCATCTATTAAGCGCCGTACAGTCTAGCTGTTTCTTTAAGCACATTGTTTTGAATTACTGTTAGCAGTGTAGCATAGAAGGAAATTGGGAATCCAGATTCTCTATGGATTTCCCTCTGAACAGTTGTGTGGCTGTATCCTTATCTGGTGAATGGGGACATTAGCGTTTCCCCGCTCCACAGGCTGTAGTGAGGCTCAGGTGTGCAGGTGCACTTAATAGCATGTGGAAAAGTTGAGCACTTGTAACCGGAAGGCAGCCCTTTTACTCCTATTTTATATAATAGCCGTGTATGCAAAATATCTAATTTCTTCCTGAACACCCAGTTGAACTTTAACACTTGGTATTTTTCTTCTCAGAATTCTCATTTTCCTCATAAATTTATATTATGTCGTTAAATTCCTTTGAAGTGCTAGATACTTCAGGATTAAAGTAGGAATGTTGTTTCTTCAACTAGAAGCTCTTAGAACTTGGCAAGTACTCTGTGTTCTCTCATTTCCTTATCTTTGTATATGCTGTATTGCAGCACACGTCACATGGAGATGGGCGTCAAGAAGTTACCTCTCGCACCAGCCGCTCAGGAGCTCGGTGTAGAAACTCTATAGCTTCCTGTGCAGATGAACAGCCTCACATCGGAAACTACAGACTGTTGAAAACAATCGGCAAGGGGAATTTTGCAAAAGTAAAATTGGCAAGACATATCCTTACAGGCAGAGAGGTAAATACCAGTTATGCGTATTTCTGTTATGACTGTTGCTCTGTTTATTTCCATGTAAGAGAGAGAAAAGAATACGGATATATTTGGCCTTATTTCTAAGCTAACTAAGCTTTTTATTTGTTTTATTTTATTTTATTTTCAAGACAGGGTCTCTCCCTGTCACCCAGGCTGGAGTGCAGTGGCGCAGTCATGGCTCATTATAGCCTTGACCTCTTGGGTTGAGGTGATTCTCCCACCTCAGCCTCCTGAGTAGCTGAGACTACAGGTATGTGCTGCCACACCTGGCTAATTTTTTTTTAAAAATTTTTGTAGAGATAGAGTTCTCACCATGTTGCTCAGGCTGGTTTCGAACTCCTGAGCTCAAGCAGTCCTCCTGCCTCAACCTCCACAAGTGTTGGGATTATAGGCATGAGCATCGTGCCTGGCTAATTAAGCTTTTTCTTTTTGGGGTGGGGGCGCGGGGGACGGAGTCTTGCCCTGTAGCCCAGGCGTGGAGTGCAGTGACGTGGTCTCAGCTCACTGCAACCTCTGCCTCCCGGGTTCAAGTGATTCTCCTGCTTCAGCCTCCCTACTAGCTGGGATTACAGGCATGTGCTGCCACGCCTGACCAATTTTTATTTTTATTTTTTTTAGTAGAGACGGGGTTTCATCATGTTAGCCAGGCTGGCCTCAAACTCCTGACCTCAGGTGATCCGCCTGCCTCACCCTCCCAAAGTGCTGGGATTACATGTGTGAGCCACTGTGCCCAGCCTAATTAAGCTTTTTCAGAAGAACACGAAACATATATTAGTTGCCTGGGAGTTATTTTGCTTTCCCATTACTTTAAATGTTGTAAATATCATAGAGGGTTTAAATAATCTTTACGTTTAAAAATGAGTAATGTTGCCGGGCGCGGTAGCTCACGCCTGTAATCCCAGCGCTTTGGGAGGCTGAGGTGGGAGGATCACCTGAGGTCAAGAGATGGCGACCATGCTGGCTAACATGGTGAAACCCGTCTCTACTAAAAATACAAACATTAGCTGGGCACGGTGGCGGAGGTTGCAGTGAGCCGAGATTGTGCTACTGCACTCCAGCATGGTGACAGAACGAGACTCTGTCTCTTTTTTTTTTTTTTTTTTTTTTTTAATGACAAGGTTTCACCATGTTGGTCAGGCTGGTCTTGAACTCCTGACCTCAGGTGATCCACCCGCCCTGGCCTCCAAAGTGCTTGGATTACAGGCGTGAGCCACCGCGCCCGGCCCGAGACTCTGTCTCAAAAAAAAAAAAAAAAAATGAGTAATGTTTTGTTCTTTTTCAGTAGTAAACGTCTGCCACCACAGTAAAAATTGTCTTTAACTTAAGGTACATACTTACATATTTGAGCTCATGTTACTTGCAAATCGATAGTATTGTCAATACTTACAAATTTATCTTCAAGAGGTTTCTTCGTTTCTCTACTTTTCTCATAGTGTATGTTTAATGGGTTATTGTGTAGTAAGGCACATACTTTCCTAACCCTTGTGAAATGGCTTTCTGCTCAGCCCCATTTCTATTAATAAAAAATACATGTGTTAAAACCACAAAATTAACTCCCTCCTGTTGTGTGGTACAGAGCCTGTTTTGCTGTGCTTTTTTTTGGACAAAGTTTTGCTCTTTGACCAGGCTGGAGTGCAGTGGCATGATCTTGACTCACTGCAACCTCCGCCTCCTAGGTTCAAACAATTTTCCTGCCTCAGCCTCCCGAGTAGCTGGGATTACAGGTGACCGCCACCATGTCCAACTAATTTTTGTATTTTTAGTAGAGACAGGGTTTCACCATGTTGGCCAGCATGGTCTCAATCTCTTGACCTCGTGATCTGCCCGTCTCAGCCTCCCAAAGTGCTGGAATTACAGGCGTGAGCCACTGCACCCAGCCTGTTTTGCTTCTTTCATGTAGTTTGTTGCATTTAGGTCTTTGCACCTACTGTTCCCTGTACGTGAAATACTCTTTACTCTTCTGTTTAGGGATCACTTCTGAGAATCATTGACAGATCATCTTTCCCCATGCATGGGATACCATAAAAATCCAAATATCCTCTTTTATGGCACAATTTGCATTGTATTGGAATTACCCGTTTGTCTCCTTCTCTAGTCTGTAGGCGATCTCCAGTCTATAGGTAAAAACGACAGAACTTAACACAGTGCTTGTAACCTGTTAGGTACTTAATAAATATTTGTTAAATGAATGTAATAATACTGTTGTTGTTTTTTTTGGAAGAGGGTGAGAGTTTTGCTCTGTTGCCCAGGCTGGAGCGCAGCAGTGCCATCTCAGCATCTCAGCTCACTACAACCTCTGCCTCCTGGGTTCAAGTGATTCTCTCGCTTCAGTCTCCCGAATATCTGGGTTTACAGGCACCCACCACCACACCCAGCTCATTTTTTGTATTTTAGTAGAGATGGGGTTTCACCATGTTGGCCAGGCTGGTCTCGAACTCCTGATGTCAGGTGATCTGCCCGCCTCAGCCTCCCAAAGTGCTGGGATTACAGACATGAGCCACTGTGCCTGGCCTGAATGTAGTAATACTTTTGAAGGAAGCTTTTAAAACAAATGCTGTTCCTGTGATAGATGGACCAAGACTGTGACACATACACTATGGCATTCATACCTGCAGCCCACCAGGCCTGGGGCTGCAGGAGCATGAGCCCTGGGTCAGTCATCTGTCAACAGGCATCCTCTGTTTGCAGCAGTGTGCCCTATAAATATTCTCATTTCCTGTGTATGCTGAGACTTGGAAAAGGTTGGAAAGCACTGGACTGTGCTAACTGGAATCTTAAAAGACTCTTGCCAGAAATTTGCCTCTTCACAATTCATCCCAATTTTAGTGATAAAATCCTTGTGGATTTTTTAGTCGTGACTCCTGTTATTGAGCTGCCTTAGATTACTTTTGGAACCAGTAAACAGCTTGTGTGGGCGGAGCTGTCCCTGTTGTCCTTGATTAAAGCTTTCTTGAGATAAGGAACCAGACCTCTGAGTTTAATTCCCACCAGTTCCAGGTGGCTACTTGCCAGCTTCCTGATGTGGGCAGAGATGGTGGGCTAAGAGAGCATTGGGACAGACACACCCTCTCCCATTTACTTTACCTAACTTACGTTGGCTGGAGTCTGGCCTGTGGTGTTTACTTCTAGTAGGTTCTTTCTCTAGAAATCCTTGAATGTGACTGGCACTGTGGTTTAATTTAAAATTTTTGTCAGTTTTTTAATAACTTTGAACAGAATTATTTTACTTTTTTTTTTTTTTTGCCTATTGTAGATATGACCCAGAATCACATACAATGTAAACATTGTAGAAATTCATTATATAGAAAGTAAAAGTTCCTTGAAATTTGTCTCTTCAAAGACAATCACTTTCAGCAGTTTGGTGTATATTCCCAGAGTTTTTTATATAGACATTAACTTTTTAAAAGATTTTAATAAAAAGGGACTTGTATGGGACATAATAGTTTTTTTAGTTAGTAATGTACCTTGACCATGTCTGGGTCTTAGTACTCATAGATCTGACGCACTTAGTGTAAAGGCAGCATAGTCTTCCTCTGTAGGGTGGTATCATAGTTTATTTCATATCAATGGGCATTAGAGTTGTTTCTAATTTTTTGTTGTTACGAATGTATCTGTAGTGGTCATTCTTTAGCATTGTGTGTTCTTGTTAAGTGTTTCTGTAGGATAATTCCTAGAAACGGAAGTCCTAGGTCAAAGTCAATAAATATTTGACATTGTAATAGATATTACTAAATTTGTTTTGAATGAAAAGTGATGTGTACCTACTTTGTCATCCTACCAAAATGAATGAATGTTCATTTTCCTACATGCTTCTACACTAGATAATTTTTGTCTGTCTGAATGTCTTAGTCTGTTTTTGCTGCTGTAACATAATACCAGAGACTAGGTAATTTATAAGCATAAGAAATGTGCTTCTTACAGTTGTGGAAGCTCAGAAGTCCAAGGTCCAGGGCCTGCATCTGGCCAGGGCCTTCTTGAAACATGAAGGGCGTGATGGAAGGGCAAAGAGTGGAGAGGAGCGGGGAGGGAAGGGAAGAGGAGGAGAAAGCGAGAAGAGAGGGCAGAGCCCTTGCAACCTGATTGCCTCTCTAGGGCCCCACCTCTTAGTACTGCTGCAGTGGCAGTTACATTTTAACATGAGTTTGGGAGGAGACAAACATTTAAACCGTAACACGGATGGACAAAAAAAGGTTGTAGAAAAAAACAGAAGTTGCTTTTTCCCTTTTCACTACTTAGATTTATGATCTTTTAATATATTTTTGTCATTCATATTTTCTTTTTAAAACAAATTCCCTGACCACCCGTAGTAACTCATGCCTCTAGTCCTAGTGCTTTGGCAGGCCATGACAGGGAGATCATTTGAGCCCAGCAGTACAAGGCTGCATTGAGCTGTGATTGTACCACTCTACTCCAGCCTGGGCAGCAGTGGACGTGCTCTAAAATAAATAAATAAAGCAAGTTTCCTGTTTATATCATTTATTCATCTTGCTTTTTAAAAAAAAAAAATCTTAGTAATTTAAACCCTTTATGTTTTAGTCATCTGCCTGATGTGTCTGTTGTGTAGGTGATGAATATCTTTCCCTAGATTGTTACTTCTCTTAACTGTTTATGTTGTCTTATCTTAGGGAAGTTTTTAAGTATTTATGTGGCAAAATTGTTTCATCTTTTTCTTTATTACGTTTGGGTTTCATGTCTTCATGAAGATTTGTCCTATGACTTAAAAAACAGTTCTGTATCTTCTAATATTCCTCTTATGGCTCACATTTTAACATTTAATTCATGTGGTATATAGTTGGGAGGATTCATATTAGGGTTAGGGATATGGCTTTTTTTTTTCCGCTTGGATTACAATTGTCTCAGAACCATCAGTTCTCTCCCCCAATTGAAGATACCTGCATTAACACCTGTTAAATTCTTGTTTGTGTCCTGTTGTTTCTCCAGTCTATTTAGTCTCATACCATGGTGTTTTTATTACTACAGCTGTG